TCTGGAAAATAAAATGTATACAAATTACATTACGGCTGGTACTACAGCTCACTGGTTCCTGAGATTTGGGCAAACAAATGTCCCACTGTCTGAATAGAATTAGCAATTAGCAGAATTGCTAATTCTATTGAAAATTAATAACATTATCTTATTTAAACAACCAGGGTCTGAGGGTCTTCAGCACAAATTTAGTTTTTTTTTATAGCTGTTTTAAAAATTATAAATTAAATGATTTTATGATAGCTTAGTACCCACAAAATACATTGTCCTCAGACAGGAGATTTCATTTTAATTTGATTTTTTGGCTGCTTAAAATGCATCCCAAGTTTTGCCAACACTGTCAGATATTTTTTTTAACAGCAATAAAATCAGGCAACTACCCTGACCCTCTTCCCACCCTCCTCATTTACTAAATGCATTAGTCAAACAAGCTACTGTAATGAGCTATTTTTTTTAAAAATTTTTTCAACATATTATTGGTAAAGTCACAACCATAATATGACCTCTTTATTTCCTACGCTTTCAGACAGCGTGACAAAGCATAGTTATTTGACGCTAAAGGTACCCTAACCCTACGCCACAGCATCACAAAGGAGGATAACCCTACCTGCTAGGCTGATATGAACAGCTGTAGTCACTAAAGTCACTGACTTAAGTTAAGGCACAAACCCCTGTGTTGATCATGATAAGGGCAGGGGGCTTTGAGGGGCTGCCAACACGCCTAACACTAATGTAGAACTTCACACACCTGGGGCCGTCTCACAGTATTTTCTTACTATATGTGTCACCTGTGCAACATGAATTAATTTAGTTTCACAATTTCATTATCATTTTATAACATTTCCACAAATTGAGCATTTGCTAAATTTCAATTCATTAATTACATTCTGACTTTCCTTTTATGTAAGAAACAGGTATTTAAAGAATTTTAAAAATCATTGCCACTTTAAAATTAAATGTGTTTTTTATGTCCCAAATTATTATTTTGTGTACTAAATGTTAATGTTGTAAAAGTTCTTAGAGGGCTACATGTGAAATAATTTTAAAAAATGAACAAAAGTTAATATTCAACATTTAATATAAAATATATGAACCTTTGGTGTAGACACAATGATTTGAAAGCTCTAAATCACTATAAGGCTAAATAAATAGGATTAGTAATGAAAGGCAAAACACATATTATACAAAACAATTACAAAATGAGGAGGTTGCACCAAAATATTGCTAATTAGTGAAATCTTGTACTATAAATATATAAGTTTAGATTTCTTAACATTAAATTTTTTTCTTTTCAAAATTAAAACCTGTTTTATCCAAATTCAGTGAGCTGATATCAGTTCTGTTATATGAGACATTGAGAAGAGACCCAACCAGCAGATACAAGAAAATTATATTACCATTTGTATCCTGGAGAAGCCATTCCATGCATTTATGGACTACCCAAGATACACAAAGAAGGAGCCCCACTCAGGCCGATTATCAGCAGCATTAACTCGGTCACCTACAACATTGCCAAACACATTTCCACCATCTTAGCTCCTTTGGTGGGAAACACGCCTCACCACGTCCAAAACTCTATTGACTTTGTAAACAAAGTTCGAGGACTAAAACTGGATCCAGATGAAACCATGGTATCCTATGACGTGACTTCTTTGTTCACCTGCATCCCCACCATAGAGGCAGTAGAAACTGTTAGGAAACTGCTAACACAAGACAACACCCTGGACAACAGAACTAGCCTCAGCCCTGACCAAATCTGTAAATTACTCGACCTCTGTCTAAACACCACCTACTTCCAGTACAACGGTGGATTCTACAGACAGAAGCATGGCTGTGCCATGGGCTCACCGGTATCCCCGATTGTGGCAAACATCTACATGGAAGAAGTGGAGAATAAAGCCCTCAACTCCTTCAGAGGAATAGCACCGAGCCACTGGTACAGATATGTGGACGACACCTGGGTCAAAATCAAAAGTCAGGAAGTGCAAGCCTTCACAGAACACATCAACTCTGTGGACAGTAACATCAGGTTCACACGAGAAGATGTTCACAACAACAGTTTGGCCTTCCTGGACTGCGCTGTACACATTGAAGAGGACAGGAGCCTGCAGATTGGTGTTTACAGAAAACCCACACACACAGACCAATACCTACTGTTCGATTCCCACCACCCACTGGAGCACAAGCTAGGGGTCATGAGAACACTGCATCACAGAGCAGAAAACATACCAACAAGCGCCCAAGCCAGAGAGAAGGAACAGAACCACCTGAAGGGGGCACTTACTGCCTGTGGATACCCTAAATGGACCTTTGTGAAAACAGCCACAAAATCCAAGAAGAACAAAACTACAGGGGAGGAGGAAAAGAAGGTCAAACGCAACAACATTGTGATTCCATACGTGTCTGGAGTATCAGAGAAAATCAGGAGGATTTTCAACAAACATAACATCCCTGTGTTTTTTAAACCCAAGAACACACTAAGACAGATGCTGGTCCACCCCAAAGACCGCACACCCAAACACAAGAAAAGCAATCTAGTGTATGCGGTCCAATGCAGTGAGGAATGCACAGACCTGTATATTGGGGAGACTAAACAACCACTACACAAACGCATGGCTCAACACAGAAGGGCCAACTCCTCAGGTCAAGACTCTGCTGTCTACTTACATCTGAAGGACAGAGGACACTCGTTTGAGGACCACCAGGTGCACATTTTAGACAGAGAAGATGGATGGTTTGAAAGAGGTGTCAAGGAAGCATCTACACCAGGGTTGAGAAGCCGTCATTGAACAGGGAGGGGGTCTACGCCACCACTTATCCCCCACTTACAATGCTGTCCTTTCATCACTTCCCAGGAAACTCAACAAACGTAACCTATTGGCCTCAGGTGAAGATACCAACGATGGTCGTTCAGTCTTGGCCACAGGTAGTCTTAACGACTGTAACGACTGTCGTCACAGCAACAAGGAACACTAACGAACCAGCGGTATCGATGACCCGGGCCAACGACCCCACTGAGGTTAAATAGCTGAGTTTCCCTGCCAGTCAGTCAGAACTGAAGAAGTCCTTTGGATGAGGGACGAAACGTCTTCCAGTGTCTTCAACCAAGTCCAGTTGCCCTTGATTTTAACCTTCGTTGGATATCAGTTCTGTTAGTATATTTACGGCTGTTACTCCTGGTATATCTACTAGTACTAGTACTGCAACCCATGTTATTAAAGGAGACCTATTATGCTACATTTCCAGTCCTATATTGTAGTTCTGTGTTTTCCTGTATGGCAGCTTTGCATGATTCAAAGTTAAAAAAAAAACTGTAATTTTACTGGCCCTATACACACCCTCATTTCATTCACTGAAACAAGCTGTAGATGCTCCTGGCTTTTTAATATTATTATGATGATGATGTCATACAGAGCCATTAGTAGAAACAACAGTTTAGAGCAGGGGGGATTCAGAGGGATTTCTTTTAAATATTTTTACCTCATGACTTGAAGCTTTGGCCGTGTTTATCATGAGCATCTGACATTGTAACATTGTGGATCAGACAGAAAATAGAGAAAAGTATAGTAGGTGCCCTTAAACAACAAAACAATTTCATTATCTTTCAGGTAGAATTATAATAGACTTTATAAGCGGCAGCAGGTTTGACCGTTTTCTTCTTCTAAACACCACGGCTGTGAAACATGAAAGACCAAATATAACTAGAGTATATTTATCTGAAACAGGGAACTGGATGACCACAAAGCTGCCTGTGCTGTTAAAACAAGTTCACACATTTCAGCACAAGGCACAAAACAGACGAACACATCAGCTAAAACAGATCACACTATAGTGAGAAACCACACCAGCGTTAAACCACAGTTTGCTGGAGTCGACAGGTGGAAGTTGCTGTTTAGGTTTGATGTGCAGAGAGGAAGATTCAGATGCACATTCAAGTGTCTTTGGTCTGCACAGTCCGTCTTCTCTTTTATTTATAATAACTTAATGTAATAATTATTTGCATTAAAACAAACAGATCTTTTTATCACACACAGGAAACTGGACGACGCACAGAGCTCTTTACGTCATTTCACAGATTCAC